TCAACAAAATATTTGAAAGCCGTCAACTTTGTGATGGGGGGTGAGGGCATGTTGAAAGTATACCGGATACACAGAAACCAAGCCTCGCACACAATAAACGGGGCATGCCCGAAGTGAGTAGTGCCAACGACACAAATTCGTAAAATTCCTTTGGAAGATCACAGGGACCCGGGACAAAATCATTCTCTATGCACCACGTTAGACTACACCCACAATGAGCGTGGGGGCATACCCGAATGAGCGGGGCCTTTGTTCGGGCGGGGGGGGGGGCTAACGCAAATCTTCAAAATTCAGACCCGGAACTACTCGAGCAGCGGGAAAACGGAATCGAGTAAAAAGTGGGCAGATAGATAATCAGAAGGAGGCACATCCGATCTGGGCGTTGGAAAGAGCCCGGCAGATTGCAGTCGGCGGGCGTTTGTCTGGGTAGGCGGGGACCAAGTAAAAATTTCGAAGTTCGAACCCGGAACTACCCGAGCAGCGGGAAAACGTGGAGTAAGAAGTCGGTCGGGGTTGATTCGATCAATTTTTGCGAGCAGTGTTTGGATGAACCCGCTCTGTGATCGACTCGAATTTTGTTACAGATTCGAGTGGGCTGCATTCTATGGAGGGGAGGGGGGAGGGGAGGCGAGGGACAGGTAACATAAGTGAAGAGACACCCCAGCGGATGAGATGTGCGCCGAGTCGGCGGCTCCTGCTGCAAAAGTTCATAATATAGTCGCAAGGCAAGTGAGAACAGCAGTGAATATGAGGTCATAATCGAAAAATTCATAACTTACTACCAATTTTTTGCCTTTTTTTTATACCAAATGTGAAACGGTAATGTTCTGGAATTGCAAAAAAAATTTTTCTGTAGCGAAAGCGGGCGATCCGACTGGCCCTCAGTTTGGAAGGCCGGGGACCCACTTCACACGCATAAGGAGGATCGCCCGCCGAAGGCGGGCGATCCGACTGCTAGTGATAAAGCCAGTTGCTGCAGTTCATGCCAACTGAGTAAACAACCGCTATGCTTCTGAACTCCAGTTGCTTTAGCGGCCGTACATGACGTCAATAACGATAAAGCCCAAGAGTGAGTTGAGTGCGAACTACTGGGAGCCTGATAACTGAATCATATCAATAGCATAGTGGATGTAAGCGGTGTTGCGGATTTCCGCATGATGAGGTTTTCATTTTTTATCAGTCCCTTCGTCTCACCCGTCAGTGGTGTGCGCCCCTCCCCTATACCACTTCTTGGAGCCAAGGTCCCACAGACCCTGCAACCTGCCCTACGAATTTGGTGGCCCTCCGCATCTTAGATCCCTTATCAAATCTTATCACATGTTATTAGACTTTCTCACCCACCCCGTCCCTCCTGTATACTATCTCGGAACCACGGTCTATATTACCTCGGTATATATTATGCAATGTACTACTCGGATCACCAAGCTGACGCCGGGCGCTCCTCCATCTGTGTCAAAGCCCAGGTTCGCCGGATCGACCTGGATTCGCTAGGCACTTCTCCCTTGGGCGAGGTAGAGTGCGCGAAATGTGCCAAATGGTGACAGGGGGATTTTTCAACAAAGTAAGCTGAAATAGCCCAACATCAGCCATCATCTATCAACATCTGGTCCCTCCTGATAACTTCTAATCTAACCGTGCGGAGGATGAATTATATCTTAATGAAAATGGTGCTCCCGTCAGTACGTCCACACTCTGGAATGCTTCCCTCCTTGTTTTTCTTCAACTGCCCCACTCCACCTCCTACCACATTATATTGATGCATATCAACAACAGGCAGATTTCCGAAATTTTTTGTTCGACGATTTCCTCAATTTTCGCGTTTCAGCCGCATAATATACCCCCCTCCCGCTTGACAACATAGCATGCATCTGAAAGCAAACCTTGATTTGTTGACACAGAAGGGAAGAGTTCACACACTGACCAGGGAGGTCGTTCAGGACGTGGCGCGATTTTTGAAAACGGTTTTTTGCATGATGTAGGGGCACGTTCATGGACTACCAAACTGACGTCAATTTTTCTTGAATGGCTTTGAAAATATAAAAAAATGAGCGAAAAGAAGTCTATGGGAACCGACTGGTTTTGAGCCTCTATAGGCTCCGAATCACTTGGAACTTCGAGCAGTTGCTTGGTGGAGGATCCTTACAAAGGTACTATTGCAGTCGAGGAGAAAAACCGTCGCAAATTGGATCTTATTTGTAGCGTCTGATCAAGCGTGGGCAGCTCCTTGGACTGGTTTCTTCAGCAATCGGGGCTGTACGCATGCGCAGCGATCGGATGGCCTAATGGATAACATGAAGGACTCTCACTCGGACAGTGTGGATGGGGTTGATGGTTCGACTCCCATTGCGATGCGTGTCTTTGCACATTTTATGTTTTGCTATTTTCGCATCCATAAATGTCTGTGCGTGAGTATAGCACGGATATTTGCCATTTATGGGCAAATTCTTAATGGTGGTATCCCGTGAGTCGGTGCTATTCTACTATTACAATTTTCTCATACCATCAAGCAAGGCTGTTTCTGTAAGTTGATGTTTATGTGGAAATAAGTGGTGTGGTCGTGAATATGGTACTTAGTTCTAGCTGTGGTGCCATTTGCCTTCGAGTTGGATACACATTACTGCCTTATGTACACTCATATAAGGGACGTTGAGCTCCACTCTGCAGCAAAATTGCGTCAGCGCCATATAAACGAAGGGGAAAACATAAAAAATCGATATTCTACTATTAACTTAAGAAGATCCCTCGTTTATCAAGGACCTGCTCCCAGTGCCTCGAAAGCGTTTAGATCACTGGTACCTTCGTCTCTTCTACAAGTGCGAATAAATTGCTGTCAATGTCGATTCCGGATGACAAAACGTTGTAGCGTTTGCCGTCGGACAGTACTTCCACTGACCAGAACAGTTGAAATCGCACCGCTTTTGTAGGGGCGATGAACCCAGGTCCCAGTCGAATGTTCAATTACTTCTGCCAAACAAGGTCTTAGAGGAAACCTTTTATTGGCCCAATGTTTCAACCTTCTCGTCTCTCGGTCTTCTTCAGAGGCCTGAAAATGGTTCGAAGCCTTCGATTTGTTATCTACCCGACCAAACGCCCTCCCACTCTAGCCTTTCCGACCTCGTTTCCCGAACACTTCCCTAAGCTCCGCATGGTGAGACTTTCGGTGAGTTGCTAGAACTCATTGCCGGGTTGTGAGGAAGTGTACGGGAAACGAGGTTGGAAACGCCAGGGTGGGGAAGGCGTTTGGTCGGGTAGGTAACAAATTAGAATCTTCGAGCCATTTTCAGGCTCTCAAGAAGACGAGAAGGCAGAAACCTTAGGCCAATAAAAGGTTTCATGTAACAATCTTGTTTGGCAAAAGTCATTGAACATTCGACATCAAGCCGTGGTTACAAGAAGAGACAACGTGGAAATTATTTAACCAGGTCTCAGTTGATTGCGTATCAGCACTGCCCTATAACGCAGCTACTCGTGGCTGGCACTATGACGAACAACGGCGGCCTCCGTGCAGTTGCGTGGCACCATCCATTTATCGATCTGGTTGTCGAGGAACATGCAATATACACCGACAGTGACAATTTTTTTTCTCTGTATAGAGCCGCTTGAAAGCCCCAGTACACAAATTCTTCGCTGATCATCGATGATCATGATGATCATCATCGATGATCATGATGATCATCCACTTGGGCCCGCGTAATTCCTAATGACAGAATTCGGGTGGCTTCTCATCTGCATTCATACAAAATTGACGCTTCTGAGTTATGGCTCGGAGTTCAAGACCATCCATATTTCATTTAGGGCGGGTGTGCGCTTCCATAGTCATGAATGAAATCTTATGCGGAGAACATTACTGATACAGGCATAGAGTTAGTACTCGTTCCTGCTTTGGAAATTTAGGTACCCATACGCACACCCTCTTGACCATCCTCAATTTATCGGACATAACTCGGTCAACAGTTGCAGCAGGAATGTCAGTCTCGCGGGGAAGCTCGACAGAGGTTCAACTTCTTTGATCAGACATTCAGCGCTTGAATTCATCCACCCTTTCTTGTACAGAATGAACATTATGAGCACATCCACAGCGAATTTTATCATTTCTTCCTTCTTCGAGCTCCTGAACCATCTTCCACCTTGCATTTTGAGAACACCATTACACACAACTACTGGTCCGGCACAGGTCAAACTTGAGCAACGCACTTTCCTATTATGACGCTTAATTTGAAAATCTGGCGCTTATTTTGACCGCTCCGACTTCTTTTCGATTTCTCGAGGAATTTTCTGCGGCTAGGCCTGCCAAATTCCACAGATCCATAGCTAAAGGTACCAACTCCCAAACGAAATAGTAACCCGCGCCCTATTCCCTTTTCTGCCATTCCTCTATATAGATTTCCAAATTTTTTAATGGGATGACCTAATGTACAGTAGAACAATGCAGCTCGTGCTCGTAAATAATTCTGCTCTCCTTAATCACATTTTATTTATTGGGAGTACGTACAGTCAACAGCAACTCATCTCGTAAGGTAGGACGCGTAAAAATCACGAATGATGCAATTTATGTGGTGCAAAAGCTCGACGCACTTCACTACACTAAAACATGCTCCCTACCGTAACCCTAAGTTCGGAAGCCGGCTTTTTAAATGTTTTTTTCTTTTCAAGAGTTTTTCTACTATGTTTCTGTTGTTTTTTGTTTTCTTCTCTTCGCATCCGATGATATCCACTACTGGGAGATGCGACAAAGTGATTTGTGAGCCAGGGCTTGCACAGAGACCGCAGGGAGGTGTGACTGTCAGGTCGCGATTTTGTTTATGGTGTTCTTGAGGGCTCTTGTTTCTTTTTTCCTTCATTGAGAGATTACTTATCAGCTACTGTTTCATAATTGATCAACATTTATCCTTGACACTTTCATCGCGGGAGCTCTCTTTAACCACACCGAGACTCCTTCCCTTTTAACGGAGGTGAGTGTCTCCATCTCCATCCCAGTAATTCTGGCAGAAGGACTCCTTTCAATACCGCTTCAAGATTATTAACGTCGAAGGCCGTACCTTTCCGGTTTTCCCTGCATGTAAGCTGTTTTGCATCTTCATTGCCTCCATGACGACAAGCTCCTGACCCTCGCTGACCATATCGCCAGGCTTTGCAGAGACAGACTTGATGGCTCCAGGCATAGGTGCCAACACCACCGTTGACAAATCAAGCTTGAATATAATAAGCCAATGAAGCAAATGGAGTGAATATACTATCGAAAAACGTAAGAAGTTAAACTGACTTTTGGCTTTTCCTTCATATACTTGAGGTATTCTAGTGCCTGTTCAGGAAGCACTTTGATTTTGAAAGGCGAACCTTTGAAGAGAATCGTGATCTCTCCAGCACGTTTTGCGACAATCTGTGTGGCCATATTTGCCTTTTGCCCTGTGCTCAAATGAATCACAGGATGGGCAAGGTTCAGATCCCCATCAACTGATATTTTCTTGTCATCGACCAGAACCTGAACACATGGTTGTTATTGTTTAACTACAAAGTGCAATACATTGTGCACTGGAAATAGAAAGTGGACGGTTATTAACAGCAAAGACCCGGCCATGCATCAGTCACGACATTCGTACTTGCTTTTTTGTCTGCAGCTGCTTGAAAAAGGACACTGACAATGCCGAAATGGATTTCTGTTATGGAACTAGAGACTTCAGAAAACTGGACAGGGACGACCGCAAACGTTATATCCCGGAAGGGGAAATGGTTTGTCTGCGTTACTCATGAGTATGTGACGGGCCACGCCTTCTCATCTCCGGGATATGGGGTGTATGTCAAACGAAACATATATGCACCTACCCTGGCTTTGTTTTGATCTCCGTTCTCGAAGTACACTTTAACGTTGTGGACCTTCCTCTTTTCACCATTGGAGGGTGGCAGTTGTACTGTGAATCTGCAGAGAAATTAGTACTCCAATAATCACTAGCATTAATGAAAAATGACGTGACAGAGTAATAGAGCACCACTTATGCCCCACCTGTGCCCGTTTAAAAAGTAGAGGGTCATCCCTGAAAACGGCTATTTCGGTGATGGTACGTGGTTTCTAACCAAAAAGGGATGGCGGAAGTGTCCACAGAAGTGTCGAAAAGACACTTATACCTTCTGAGGCGCTTTTAAAGGCTGATCAGAACTGCCTCCCACATCTGCTAAACGGTTCTCTGAATAGAGCTGTGCGTGTTTTCTTACTTGATTTTTGTTTGTTTTTGACCATTTTTTGACCCATGCTAAACAAGTACGTGGAGCTCAACAAAACCCCTAAATCACTTGAAATGTGGAACAAGAAGGGGTCTGGTGTACTAATGTTACAGTCAATTTCCATGAAAGTATTGTGTTCGCAACCCTGCTTCGTTAAGTGTGTGTAATTGTGACGTTAAAGATGGCGAGATTGTGGGCAGGGTACAGCATGGGGATGTGTCAAATGGTGGTGTGGGTACGACCCCCCCCTCGAAGAGGGTCCAGATACGACCCCCCCCTGCTCTAACTGACAACCAGATGCATGTTCACCACAAATGGCTTCCTGAAATGGAATCTGGACGAAAGGCGCACTCTGCTCTAAAATACAGGAAATAAAGCTGTTTTAGCCTCATGCAGATATGCAGGCCTGAACAACAGCCTCGCATTACCTACAATTTTGTCTTAGGATTCAAAAATAAAACTCCTCGTTCGATAATTATGTATGACATGCAACTTGTAACAAGGAACACAATTGAAATAGCGGCTAATGGTGATCATTGATAGGCTGAATTGGTGAAAAAATAGCCCCAAGGTGAGTGTGTCAGGGCCCAGATGTGCATTCAATGAATGGTGACGGGGAAATAATGAAAACATGGCACGACACAACAAAGCGAAACACGGAAAATACAAAAAATGCAGAGCTAAATGAAAAAAGGATAACCAGGCCGGTAGTAACACGTTCCATACTTGGCTATTATCGATCAGGCTGCAGGGCGCAAGGCTGCGACCGCTTTCTTTGGAAAAACGTCATTGGAGCGCGGTTGTTGGACTTGCCAACGTCCTGGGGTCTGTTGCGGGGTTATATCTTTTTTAAGTGCGGAGCTTTTGAGGAATGGTGAGCAGCATGCAACGGCAAAGTTTCTACTGTTGTGTATTCCACCTAGTTGCAAACGCGATGGGTTTTGGATAGGCTAGGGGTAAAATCGCGAGCTGGTTTCCATGCTTCGCGCGAGGATTGCTTCGTTCAAACGCAATTTCATCAGGACTGAAATCGTCTCGAAACCCCTCCATCTTTTCTCTTTCCAATAGCTTTGCAGTTTTTCTGAAGATACACTAGTTCGGGAGATATTTTAGATGGGTCACAGATGCGCTACCCTCTGACCCACCGGAAAAGTCGACTCCTTATGTGCATTGTAAGGATACACCTTCAAAAACTTCAGTGTGCCTCCAGAACACATATTTCCTTCAAAATGAGCGAAACAGGAGCTCGGCTATCCCTGATTGATTTGGTCCGTGCGCCGTGCATTAGGCTCCTACACCAGAGGTGGTGAAAGGTGTAAATTCTAATTTCAGGTGCTTTTATCCATGCAAGCAGATGTTTGTTAAGGGTTTGTAAAGACAAACACGCACGAATCCGAGACGTATTATATAGTCATCTACGTACTTACCAGTTCATGCTATTAATCTATATTTATTTATTTATTTATTCTTGCTATTCTTACTATATTGCTAATAATTTTCTTATTATTTTGTATTCCTAATTACATCCGGGTCTTCTGAAGGTTTCCGTCCGTTCCGGACGGAAACCTTCAGAAGACCCGGATGTAATTAGGAATACAAAATAATAAGAAACCCTTAGCAACGACACCTTTGCACTGTTTGATGCCTAGCGAGCCTACCTAGCGAGCCTACTTTTGCGATACTCCCCACGTCCCCCGCGGCCAAGTACGAACCCATTCTTGGGGATTTCCCATGAAAAGAGGGCTGTTAAACGTGGCATTTAAAGCTGTAAAGAATACGCTCATAATGAACTTTATTTTTTTAAACATCTTGACTTCCATAGCTCCACTCCCACTATCAACTGAAATGTCGAACCATTGCTCGGCTCTGAGTGACCCTTGAGATTACGACCCCCCCCCCTCCCCAGCGACCAAGTATGACCCCCCCCTATGGGTTTCGCACAACGATGCTGTACCCTGATTGTGGGACAGCCCGTCATTTGGCGCCAGTTTAACGACACAACCTGACGTAATGAATTGCGCTGCAGAAAGCGCGAGGACCAAAAGGGTCTTTTGAGAGTGTTCCAGCATAGTTTCATTTCTTTGAAAGCAGCATTTGTGGTAAGCTTAGGTTTCCTAGCCACAAAAACCGCTCACAGATAACATCGTTGAAAAAGATGCAAAGCAACAATTTCGGCAAGGATTCGAAACATTGAGCTTGCAGACATTAGGTCATTCACATATCCACTAGGCCATAGGCGCGAATAGAATTCCCAGTTCACAGCATTGTTTACATGTTGTTGCGCATTGGGCTAGTTGAGCACTGCACAGCTCGACCCCTCCATAACTTCGTTCAGAAAATCGTGTCAAATTCGGAAAGCGGATTGAAGATCAGCGTCGAAAGTCGAGACGGTCGGTACTCATTCATTTCAAATGGGCACTCTGACCAACCATCCCGTCCTGGTAAGAACGCATTGAACCGCGTGTGCTCCAAAGTAAAAATCCCAGCAATACAGCACTTTCAGTTTAACGCATCATTTAGCAAGCCGTGAGACTTTACCTTACCTCGAAACAGTTGCTTTTGAGGGTACCTTGACACTTTTGAAACGTTACGCCTGCACATTACCAACCACTCATACTTTAAACTTGGACACTTTCATTCAAACCAATCTGATAGTTCTCTAACCAAGCTAGGTAGTTATCGCGCCCGACTTGTTAACTTTTCTTGAATAACACCACTATACAGCTGTGAAGTAGACCAAATGCGATCCTGTTGAACGGAGAACATTGAGAAGACACTGGTTCAATAACGAGCACATTTTCTTGGACGTGTTTTGCGGAACCACTTTCCTTGATGACCCAGTTATCTTAAGTTTGCACCAAGACCTTTACCAGGCTAAAAGTCTGTCTCCGGGGATAGATTGCACGGTGTAAATGGCAGGATGCGGATATGGCTTTTATATATGAACAGCGAGCCAACAGGGAAGGTTCGCCAACTTACCATGGAACTTGAATAGACCGAGGTAGATCGATAGGGTCTGGAATGCCATTTACAAATGGGGAAACCAAAATTGCTATCTGCAACTCGCAAGCAGGTTATGAGCTGTCAACGTCTAAGCTACAGGAATTGACGGAAGCTTTTCAGAAAGGCATCAAATCACCCTCCGCAAATAATGGTGCATGACAATTATAACGAATTTCCATGGATAGAGGAACAGACCACCCTTACGAACAAATTTCTGTAACAATCTGTAAACTGAGCATGTCTTAAGATATGGGTACAATGCGTGGTGGAACGTAGGCTGTCATGACCCATTCCATCTGGCAAGTTGAATCAACTAGCCAAGAAAGACTGCACGATCTAACTGATGAACTACACCCACGACATACTGGCCAGAACCGTTCATATATCGATCAGTTTGTATAATTCGGCGATATTTTGATCCGCCATTGCTTCTTTTGTCTCGTCCTTTCCATATATGCACGCCATATCACTTGTGAACAGAATTTTCAGCTCATTTCTGATAGGGCTCGAACTTATTCGTGAAACTTCCAGCTGGTTGGGACAATCTCAGCTTCGAGTTGGAAAACGCCCGGCTCAACTTGAACTCCGGCTTAGTTGAAAAAATATGTGATTCACGCCAGGCTGTCCCTCAACTGTCTGTTATAATCCAGTAGTTATAGGAATTCAAATAAGAAACATAAACGCGCATACATTAAGAAAAGGAAAAACTGAGCAGTACCTGTAGTGTGTAGTGAAAGGGTCAATAGAAGTGGAAGTCTGTCGTGTATGGTTCAAATACTTATTTGCACGTGCAAGCTTTCGAGCATTCAGTGCCGATGCGACGCCAATAATAGTCTCCTCTTCTTCCTGATTTAGTGTAGCTCCTTGGAAACCTTCGGGATACGTTTCGGGGAGATATCTGAAGATATGTAATTATAAAGGGAAACGGTAAACGTGTCAGGGAATGATGCACTTGGTGGTTATGTTGCCAGCTCGGAACCGCTCTTCTTGACAAATGTCGCGGAGCAGAGGAATGTTGTTTGTCACCTGGAACGGTCAGCTGTTGATGCCAGTCGCACTGAAGTATTAACTACAATGAAGTTGAGCAAAACGTACACCTCTAATGACGTAGTTATCAAGAGCTTCGACCATGCGTTCTAGGGCTTGGTGACGATCATCACCATGAGTGACGAGCTGAAAGGAAATAGCCATTTCGCTCTTCATAAAACTGAAATGATACAGCTTTCACCGCTGTTCAGTCTCTTTCCGGGACGCAGCAAGCATCGCCGTCCAATTTAGAAGCAACATGAAAAATGGACAACTGTGGAACCTTGTAGGAGGCATCTAAGGGTCCTTGGGCAAAATTGGAATTACTGAGACCTAGGTATAATTACTGTACTCAGAGATTTTGTGGATGCGATACGTCTGTGCAAGAACTACGTGCTCAGCCTAATAAATGACTACGTTTCCATGCTCCAAGACGCATTTGGCACCAAATATGCCCCGGAGATATGGAAGGCATGGTTGGCCCACGTGGGAGCCGATCCGGGTCGTACGCGTAGTGAGCAGCGACACTTGTCACTAGGCCACCTCTGTTCCTGCTCGAATCATAACACAAACACTTTCCCCCCCCTATGAAGAAATTCGAATCTACAAAAGAAAACGTGGATAATGCAAACCTTGCAAATGAGTGGATCATAGTAGATCGAGATCTCAGATCCCTCCCGAATGCCGGAATCGCAGCGTACACCGGCAACGTGACGAGGTTCGACATATTTAGATAGACGGCCAATCGATGGCAAACCAAAACCTTTGTACGGATCCTGAACGATACAGCAATCACAGCAACGACATGGGGAAAGTATACAACTCTTCTGCGTAATTCTGACCACAGTCATGTAGCTTCGCGATGTTATTTCGTTACTAAACAGTGTGTGGTGTGGCATAGACGCTAGGGAACTGCTATTTATAGATGCAGATCGGTAGGCCGCGTTCATGCTTCGCCACACGTACAATGCCCAAAACACGCAGCTGTGACTGACTGTACTCTACTGCTGTTCGTTGGAGTGGGATTTCTCCATCTATTACGATTTGATCAGACCAGCGCAGTATGAATAGCTAAGTGAATGAACAAATTCCGCATCCATTATGAAGTGCGCCTTTTGAGGCCAAGCCAACTAAGGAGAAGGAGGAGAGCTCGGCGTCAGCCGGGCGATCCGACTGCTTTGATAAATCATTCATTATTGTTGTAGTAACTTTGGTACCGTTATTGCGATGGCTAATTACCAGTCATCACAATAAGCAAAGAAAAAATCCAATATTCGCATATGCCATTTAATCTGTATTTATAACGCAGTTACGTCCTGGACCGACAAAAGATGCAAAAGATAAGAAAACGAACTTCAGCATAAACTCTGCTCTCGAAAGCCCATCCCTTCAGCGGAACTTGATCCTGAGTGAGTGGAAGCTTGTGTCCGTAAGCGACTCGCAACATTTGTTGCACAATATCGATTCCAGTGATACACTCAGTAATCGGATGTTCGACCTAAACTACTTAGGATCAACAAATACAATTAGGAAAAGGCAGCAACAGCTCAGACCTGAAGACGTGTGTTCATTTCCAGGAAATAAAAGTTTCTCTTTGAGTCGACAAGGAACTCTACAGTACCTGCAGAATCATAACCCACAGCCAACGCTAGCTGACATGCTGAAACATACATTAATAGATAAGAGCTTTTCCAAAGAAACTTTCAACCTGAAATGGAAACCTTGCTCTCCCATCTTGCGCCGCATCTCTGGAATGACAAAACTGCTTGGGGCTTCTTCAATCACCTTCTGATTTCTACGCTGGATAGAGCATTCACGCTCATTCAGCCAAATAGCGTTCCCGTGTTTGTCGCAGAGCACCTGAAATTATCGAAGATCGAAGGACTAGTACAGTTGTAGTACTGTATCTCACCATCAGCCATACTACGCTATCACGCTCTGTGCGTGATAGCGTAGTATGGCTGATGGTGAGATACATCTGTATCTGTGACAGGTAGTGGTTAAGCGAAGTAAAAGATAGAAAATTCTAGATTACAGAAAATTTCTTCGGTCCTATTTGACCACCCAAAAATGCAGTAGTTTGGTCTCCAGAGCAACACATTTTACCACCATACTAACGTGGTTATTCTTGCAGGAAAGCGCAGAATTTGTAAAGTTGAATAAAATTCAAGTGCGTATCCAGCTCTGCTCAGACCGGAAGGGGTAGTCGAATAGGAAGGTACAACTATTATAATCAACAGCTCATGCATACGAATTAGGCTTTCCGAGCCTAGGCGGTCTCTCACCGTTCTTTTCCATCCATTTTGTACTTCAGGTGCCGGTGTGGCTCGCGAGATCAGCGGTGACGATTGTAGTGACCATGTCGTGGCCTACCGCGTTGCTTACTGTATCGACTTTGGCGCCCAAAAAAGACGGGAAATATCGACGCGGGGCCACGCCGGCAGTTTTTCCTCTAGTTTGCTTCGGTGAGCACACGCTCACGGTCTCTGCCTTCTAGAACCATCGTCGCTGACGCCCTGGGCGCAAGCTATGGTTCTCTTCTTCTCCGACTCTCGAGTTGCAGTGCAACCAGGGTCCACTCTCCATTTTTCTACCTGTTGAAACCTGTCATCATCTGCAAGAATTGTCCAACAGATTTCTGGCAAGAATCTTCTTATTGCAGGTGAGCCCTTCAAGGTCGGCCTCAACGTCCAGCCGCAGCAGCTCCGACTCGGACCACCCTTCCGCGTCTTCGATCTCGCACGAGAGGACAGTGGCCGGCAACTCTCGGTCAAGGTCAACGTCTCAGGAGAGGAGCGTTGACAAGGGGTGCCGTAGAAGCTACAGCTCACCACTAGCTCCTCCGGTGCCGAATATCGGCATTCCGAGAAGGGATGAGTTTCGTTCAGCCAAAGACGAGGTACCAGCGCCTCCAGCAGTGCTGCAGAACTTGTTCAGTCTCTTCAGACTTGGTGGTACCCTGGACTTATACTGCTGTAATTTCAGCAGGCACGACAGCGTTTCGACTCCTTCGCAGCAGGAATGCCCTTGAGCGATCTACCTTGCTTGTAGAGCTGCCGCTTGTTGCCTGTTCACACGGGAGGTACCAGCGAACAGGTCCCACGAGACAACGATCGTGCCATCCTCATACGAGAATCAGAACTTCGCACTTTACACGAGACATTGCTGAATGTTCTCAACATAGCGGAGCTGATCCGAAAACTGGGCTCAAACGGGCAAGGAAGCGCCTTCGCAGCTTCAGTGATCGGATATATCGAACTTCTGGACATCCTTGTATCAAGGTCCTTGATGGACCTAATTGAACTTCGCAGGTAACGGTTCCTCAAGGCAGTGGGAGTTGAACCGAGGAGAGCGATGCCTTCGTATCGCAGACTACCACTAGCAGGCTCAACTATGGTGCACCACGTGCGTCAGACACTGATCCCAGACCTTTTCGGGAAGGAGCTGCGCGATGAGTTAGCCTCTGCAGACTCCGCCATAACAAAATCATTGCAGAAACTGAGAGCGCAGAGCGCCAAGTAGAGAAACGCTACACCATCGAAGGACTGGTCTCTTCAGACGGTTCTTTCTCTCATATGTCGCTGGTTTCGATTTCCGACGAGTCGGTTCGCAAGGTTAGCGCTGTAGCGCTTAGTCCACATACTGGTCGCATAGCGGGTAGGCTAGCCGACTTTCTGGAAGCATTAGGGACGATTTCGTCAGATCCATTCATATTAGAAACCATAAAAGGGTACCGGATTCCTTTGGCAGTACTAAACCTTGCCTTTCACTTCCATTGTGTAAAATTCTAGCGACTCCCGCCAATCTCGCGGATGAGTTGTCTTTATTGGGAGAAAAGGGGGTTATAGAGAAGGCCCCCTCGACTCTAAAGTTTGGGTCTCTTCAATGTTTCGCTTTCCCAAGAATAATAGCTCCACAAGATCCATAATAAATCTGAGGCCTCTCAATGCCTATCTTGATATCCCCCATTTCAAAATGGACAGTTTGCACACTGTAGCAGACGTGGCACTCAAAGGGGATTTCTGTGCCAAAGTCGATGCAAGACGCTTATTTCGCAATCAACATATCTACAGAACACAGAAATTACCTGGCGTTTTGATGGGACCATGTCAGACTCACCTGCTTACCATTCGGGTTGGCAACGGCCTCCTATGTATACACCAAGCTAATGCGAATAGTAGCCGCGCATTTTCGTGCGCGCGGCGTAAGAGTGATCAACTACTTGGATGACTGGGCCCATTTTGCGGACACAGAATGAGTGCTTATGCCATCCAGTTTTTCGAGTACTTGGGTCTCTCTATAAATTTACCCAAATCTCGTTTGATCCCTTGCCAAGAGTTCGAATCCTTAGGCTTGATCATAGATACAAAAAGAGGAGAGTTTAGAATCCCTCCCAGCAAGCCCGAGCAAATCCAGACGGAAGCCTCGTTTCCAGTTCAGAAAAGTTATATTGGCGAGAGAACTCTCGGCCTTTCTAGGGCGCGTCAACTTCGTAGCAATGACATCCCCCTATTCTACCCATATGACGCGGCGTCTGCAGCACGAGCTGGCCAACGAGACAAATCCTCTTATCAAAGAGTCATTCAATACAATAGCACTTGAGGAAGAAATTAATGTGGACCTTCTCTGGTTCCGCGATAATCTCAGTGCTTACGCCAGTCACCCCTTCACACACTTCTCTCCTGATACCTCTATAGTGACGGATGCCTCCAAGAGAGGTTGGGGAGCGGTTTGTAATGGTAGGCGCACAGGGGGAAGATGGCCCAAGCAAGAAGCAACTTGCCACATCAATGTACTAAAAATTCTGGCAGCCCTATTTGGATTACAGTTCTTCGGAAACCAGTTAAGCAACATCAGCGTGCTTCCAGAGATGGAGAATGCAAAGCTATTGCCTATCTGAAGCGTAGGGGTGGCACGACAAGCGCGGAACAGTCCCAGATAGAGGAACGGATATGGTCGTGGTGCTTGGACAGAGACATAAGCATCCTGGCAACCCATAGGCCCGGAAGGGAGAATCAAGAAGCTGATTCAGAATCTAGAGTGTTCGCCAGAAAGGTCTGCGAGTGGTCCTTAGACAACCTTCTTGACACAGCAGATATTTTCACACTTCGGCAGGCTTACGATCTTTTTTGCCTCAAGACTAAATCTCAAGCTGGATATTTACTACTCATTGAGTCCTGATCCAGGCGCGTCAAAGGTAGACGCTTTTGCGCACAACTGGTCGGGATCTTCGGATTCGCCTTTCCGCCGTGCAACTTGATCGGACGAGTTCTCCGGAAGGCAGTCAGAGACGGTGCAACGCTGATTCTCGTCACTCCTCTCTGGAAAAGCCAGAATTGGTTTCCTCTGCTTCTGAGGCACGCAGTAAAACAACCGCTCTGGCTAGCGCACGTCGGCTCCTGTCCAATGCTCAAGGGCAACGACATCCTCTGCTAGCACAGAAGAACTTCGCGTTGCTAGCCTGGAGGATCTCGCCAAACCTTGGGCCGCTGCGGGATGCAACCAGCAGACGGTTGGTACTATCTTGGCCAGCTGGGCTCCAAATACTAGACAGCAGTACGCCTCATCTCTGGAAGTGGCACATCTACCTCACACAGGTAAGAACCGAACAAGCTGCTGCTAACCACACAACCTTCTGTAACTTCCTAGACTCGTTGGCTGATAAGGGATGAGCTATTCATCTTTCGCATATCACAAGGCGGCTGTTGCCACTATATCAGACTTGCTGTTTGGGACCATCTCTGGGGAGAAGATCCCCTGTGGTGAGATTCATGAAAGGCCTCTTCCGTGCCAACCCTCCCAAGGCTAAGTATTCCTCTATGTGGGGCGTAGACAAGGCTACACAATAAAACCCGGTAAAAATTCACTGCTGTTGAAACAGCTTACCCTCAAGCTCACTATCTTACTTGCTCTGTGTTCCCATAAGTGGGTGTCAGAGATAGCTTCCTCTTCCCTGGGAAGTCTCCGGAAGAGCGCTCATCGCTGGGTGTTCTTTATCAACTATCGATACAAGAACCGTTGATATGGTCCACCCCAGTCAGCCGTGTAAGAGGCATACGAAGATAACAGTCTCCTCTGTCCCGTCGAAACCTTACAACAATACCTCGCAGCAAGGGAAGTATTCCGCGGTCGGGGGAAGGCACTCTTACTCTCTTATGCTTCACCTCACAGACCAATCTCAGCGGCCACCGTAACTAGGTGGATTAAGACGCTGCTAGTTGAAGCCGGGGTAGGAGGTGACTTCTCAGCTCATTCAACACGCTCCGCAGGCACATTCAAAGCATACAAGCACGGGGGTCACTAGAGACAACAACGAAAGTGGCCGCGTGGGCTCCAATGAGTTCAACCTTCGCAACTTCTACCAGAGAGAGCCTTTGCGATACTTCTATCAGAAATCGATCATAAGGTGATTTGAACGAGCGTAACTGGTAGTTATGAGCTGTTGATTATAATATTATGCGAAACGTAGTTGCAGTATATTTACTGTGATCTACAGCGAATTACCAAACACCCTCCCGCCCCACCCGATCGATCTTCATTCGCATTCCTGCTGCAAACGCAGCAACACCAAGGAAACCTATGCTGCGAGCGAAAGAGCAGAACACGCGAGACGAAGATCTCCGGAAGCAAGGAAGAAGCCCTCGATACCTCGCCTCAGCGTCAAGAGACCAAAAAAAAATAAGATTTGAGGGACTACCCTTACAAGATGAAATAACTTGTTGCTTGTTTCTGTTTGAAGTTGATATAAAAATGAAGCGCTTCAATCCGCGTGGCGCATTCTCCCTCAGCAAACTGGAGAAAAAACTGCTGGCGTGGCCCCGCGTCGACATTTCCCGCATTTTTGGGCGCCAGAGTCGATACAGACGATAAGCAACGCGGTAGGTCACGATATGATCACTACGATCGTCACCGTTGATCTCGCGAGCCACACCGGCCCCTGAAGTACAAAATGGATGAAAAAGAACTTTGAGAGACCGGATCGAGGCACTTTGAGGCTCGGATAAAGCCTAATTTGTATTTGTTCGCTGTAGATAATAATAAATATATTACTGCAACTACGTTTCGCATAATTTTATAATTCCCGGGCCGATTCCCCTCCCTTGTACTACTCCCTTCCGTCACTCGCAACTACATACTCAGAGAAGCCCATTTTGCTGCAGATATGGACTCGACCAATTGGTCGAGATTGTGAAGAATTAGGCGTGAAGAATCATCATTCAAATACCACTCCTTTTTTGTGATCAAGTACGGCCCCAGCGGATGATTCGCCTAAAGCGCCTGAGTTGGCGGCAAAACGTACAAAAATAACTAGTACATCAGAACTCCTTCAAAATCCATCACATCCCACCTGCATCTCAATATGCCGAGGATTGTCGATGAATTTCTCAACAAGCATGCGATCATCTCCGAATGAAGACTTTGCTTCCTGTTTGGAGAGCCTAAATATATGATTATGAGTTCAGTTAGTTGGTTGAAGCTATCAGTTAGAAGAACCTAAATAACACCTGTATCCTTCGCGGGCCTCCTTGTCATTCCAGGCTATTCGCATTCCTTTTCCACCACCTCCCGCTGAGGCTTTGATCATGACTGGGTATCCAATGTCATTCGCCACCTACACAAAAAAGTTGATCTGTAGCGTCCTGTTTCAGTGTGTCTTTATAAGTCCGGGACTGTCTTTATAAGGCAGGATAATTTCAGGTCTCGTTCATACAACGCGACTCGAGCAATTCACGTGGATGATTGTGATCGAGCGCGCTCCGTCAGAAACAAGGGAGGTCGTTCAGGGAGTGCCCCGCTTTTTCGAAATGTTTTCTTTTGCATTTTTAGTTCATTGCACATGAACCACAAAAGTGGGCCTCATTTCCGCTGAGCGGCCCCTGGAATGCCAAAAAAGGAGCGAAAAAGAAATATATCGTAATCTATATCGGAATCTATCGTAAATCTATATCGGAAACCGATCGTTTTTGAGCCTCTATGGGCTGGAAACAGTTTGAAACGCTGACCAGTTGCTGAGTGAACGGTCCCTATAAAGGTAATTGGAATAGGAGAGAAAAACAGTCGGGGTATGGGGCCTTATGGCACAAGATCAGGAGTGAACTGTGCCCTGGAATGGTTTCTTCAACGATCAGAGCAGCAGCTATCGTATGGAACGATCGTATGGCCTAGTGGATAGTGAAGGATTCTCAATCAAGCAGTGAGGGTAGGGTTGATGGTTCAATTCCCCATAGTGCTCAACGCTTTAAAAATTTTTTTGGCTTTTGCTTTCCTTCCGTTCATGAATGTCCCTGCATGAATATAAGTCCGAGACTGCCATTTATAGGCACATTTTAAATGGGGATACTTCATGAATCGGTGCTAATCAATTATTAGGTCATCCCATTCAAAAGTGCCGTCGGTTTTATCGAATAAAACAAAGAGAAGAATAGATAAAAAAGTAATATTTCGGCTTCAAGTTAAGTGAATCCCTCCTTCACCAATGATCTGCTCCCAGTGCTCCAGAAGCCTGGACCTCTGGTACCTTCAATTTTTCAATCGCTAGTAAATCGAGAATTAAAAACTAAAACTAAATTCAGCGAGTAAATTGCTGTTGATGCTAATTTCGGCGAATGACAAAACATTGTAACGTTTGCCGTCGGAGAGTACTCTCGACTGACGAGAACAATTGGAATCGCACGGCTCCATTTCGGGCGAATGGGGTGATTGACCCAGGTCTCAGTACTGTTTTTGTCCCAGCACTGTCCTGCAATACAATTACTCGGGGTCTGGCACTATGACGAACGACGGCGGCCTCCGTGCAGTTGTGTGGCACCATCCATTTATCGATCTGGTTGTCGAGGAACATGCAATATACACCGAAAGTGATGATTTTTCTCTCTGTATAAAGCCGCTAAAAAGCCACAGTGCAGAAATCCCTCGCTATGATGATCGTCCACTTGCGCCCACGTAACTCCTAAAGGTAGAACTCGGGCGGCTTCTCATCTGCATTCATACAAAATTGACGATTGTGAGTTATGGCTCGGAGTTCAAGACCACCCATATTTCATCTAGGGCCGGGGTGCGTTTTCACAGTCGTGAATGACATCTTACGCCGAGAACATTACTGTGAGGCAGAGAATAGGTACTGCGTTCGTGCTTCTACAAGGAATAGGTACCCATGCCCACACCCTCTTGACCATCAGTTTATCGGACATAACTCGGGCAGCATTTGCAGCTGGGATGTCAGACTCGCGGGAAACGTCTAGGCCCTGGGATCCGACACTCAGCGCTTGACTTCATCCACCCTTTTTCCTTGTGCTGGATGAACATTATGGGACCATCCACAACAACAAATTTTTCCCTTTCTTCCTTTTTCGGGCTCCTGGACCGAACCTTCCACCTTGTATTTCGAGAACACCGTTCATACAAGTACTGGTCCGGCGCCGGTCGAACTTGAGCAGGACACTTCCCTCTTATGACGTCTGATTTGAAAATCCGGCGGTGATTTTCACCACTCAGGCTTCTTTTCGATTTCTCGAGAACTTCCTCTGTGAGTAGGTTCGCCATATTTCACAGATACTTAGGGTACTAGCCTCCAGATGGTAGAGCAGCCCGCTTCCCTAACCCCTTTGCTTTTCTGTCATTCCTCTATATGTCACGGCACTTTCGAATGGGATGAGCTAATATTTCAAGTTTCGCATACCATTAAGCAAGATCGCAGTCAAAGGTTGATCTTTGCCCGAACCACGAATATGGCACTCATTTATGGCTGGTGTCATTTATCGCTATTATGGAGGCACTTGTTTCTTCCAATGAATACGTTAGGTACACACATATAAGGGACGCATAGCCCTACCTAGACGCCAGATTAGGTCGGTGCCTAAATAAATGTCAAAATCGTGATCAGGGCCAGCGACCACTCCCGCACACAAACTTTCAGCCTGAAAAATTCTTTTGCTTTCTTGGGCTTAGATTGGGTTTTTTGGGTTTTTTTTTAGTTCCTTAACCTTTTTTCTACCAAAAAAAGTTAAGGAACTAAGTGAGAACAATTTCTGTCTCTCGTTAGGGGAGAACGACATCCCTATTGAGCGAGCAGGCGGTAGGGGTCGGCAAAGGCCCAGGAGCTGAAAGTTCGTCTTTGTGGGGAATTGATGGTCCTGGCTGCTAGTTTGACACTTATTTCCGGCGCCGACGTAATTTGGCGCCAGTATAGCGCTGAACGCTCCTTGTATGAGGGTAAAAATGTACTTCCCACTTTTTTGGCGTCCCTGGGACCGCTCAGTGTGAATGAAGCCCACTTCTGTAGTCTATGCGCAAGCCCATACAAAATGGAAAAAACCGTTCTGAAAAAGCGGGGCATGCCATGGACCTTCCTCGTAAGGGCTTGGACCGCTGCGCCGTTCTCGAGAGTTCTGTTCCAAATGTGATTGGAACAACAGCTGTGATGGCCCAAAGAGTAGCAGTGATGCGTGGCTGGTGCAGTCGACGATTCCATGATGCGTGGCTGGTGCAGTCGACGATTCCAAAGTTATGCTACTTAATCACTTGGGTAAGGTATGAAGCCAGTCTCAGGGATCTTAATTGTGACTCTTCACTCTACATCGTGATACTTTGTGGGCAGTTGAAGACAGCTCCCGCGATAAATGTGTCATGGATAGTTGCTTTTCAATTATGAAATGTAGCTGATAAGTAAGTCCGCAAAGAAGAAAGAAAAGCTAGAAGAGTCCTCGAGAACACCATAAACAAAATCGCTCCCTTGCAGTCACACCGCTCTGTGGTCTCCGTGCAACCCCTGGCTCACGAATCCCTTTATCACATCTCCCAGTAGTGGATATCACAATGCAAATACGAAAAACAACAAAAACACGGAATAAAAACTCTTGAAAACGAAAATAAACTTCCAAAAACTCGGCGTCCGAATTTAGGGATACGGTAGCGTGCGTCTTTTAGTGTAGTGTAGTGCGTCGAGCTTTTGCATCACGAAAACCGGGTTGCTCGTGATGATGTTATTTACAAAGGGTGTATGTCGGATGGCGTTCCTGGCAGCTATTATACCGTAACTGGGACACTGCTGGCCGTAATTGCCACCTGCACCGATAATCTGCAGCCGTCCTATTTTGTCGGATAGCTCGTCCACGCCACATGTCACCTTGGTTCTCGTAATTGATTGACCAACACCGGCAAGAAGGCAACATTGCGAACTGATGACTTAGCTATGGACTGACTATGCACATACTCGTCCGTTTTTGAGCTAATTTCGGAATTCTTTCGCGCAACCCTCTATTGCGGACTCCAACTGTTCCGCTACCATTTATAGGGACGAACAATTCGTTTGCCTGGGGTTCGCAATAGAGGGTTGCGCGAAAGAAGTCCGAAATTAGCTCAAAAACGGACGAGAATGTGCATTTTGCCCAGCTATGACGATGATTATCGACTACTATTCTCCATTGCATTTCTCTACAACTGCGGCGATACTAACACAGCAGTTAAGTTTCGTACATTGCTTAAAAACTAGAGTTCCATGTTGTTTGCTTGCTGTAAGAGCATCTTTATTAGGACCGGTTGGATCACTCGGCTGACGCCGAGCTCTCCTCCTTCTCTTAAGCTCGGCTTCGCCGAGCTGGCCTGCCTTCGGCAGGCGCATATAACTGAAACGCAACTTTTTTCATAACGGGCTCCTCATACAGCGCTGTAGTGATCGAATCGTAACAGACGGAGCAACGCTGCGGATCCTGCTTTCCTAAGCACACGCTTAAATTTGCGCTTATACAGAGCAATATGAATCTCTCAATAGAAGAACAAATTCCATCTTCATCAACTGCACCAAAATGCCTACCGATTAACCCTTCCCTTTTCAATTACCATGCAACCCGCTGATGAAGTACAAATAATTGTAGGTATTATGCTCCCTTATTATTCGTTCTCATCAGTAATTGAAAGGTTGAAGGTAAAAAAGCTACTGAACGCATAAAGTGCCTCACTGTTTAGGTTTTCGGTTCTCCTTGAATTTTCCTGACCTTCCTGTCACGCGAACTACATACCCCCCGCTCGCCGACGTCAACATTATATAGTGCTACTTAGTGCTATCAGAATTTCTTATTAATTGATAAGATTGTCTGCACCCTTCATTAGTTCCTATCACTGAAGCTCTATAATTTGGTAGTGTAAAGGCCCCAATACCTTTGACTGAACAACAACGGCAACGCTCCTTATCAGCCCATATCAGCTGTTATCAACTCCTGTTACCTGTCGTCGATGTTCTCATTTCCCACTCTATGCTGAACGTCTACCTGTTGTGTCCCGCGTTATAAGTATGGTGACCTTCCATTCTAACTCCCTTATCAAGTCTTATCAGCTGCTAGCACTTTTGTCACACACCAATAATATCGTATGCCATAGCCTACAACCATACCTTGAAACTAACATCCTACTCATACTGTGACCCGCCGCCTATGGACTCGGTGCCTCTCCCCTTCTGACGCCTCTTATCAGATCTTATCAACTGATATCACTCCCTGCCACCGACCAATCACGTTTTCTGTCCCATACCCTATATCGTACCTCGAACTAACGTCCTGCTATTGCTGTCACCGCGGCTATGAATATTGC